GTGTGTGCATATTTGTAGGACATATAATAGTATCCAAAACAAAAATGGGGATAAGGAGACAAAACAGTGTTTTGCTGAGAGTGTCCGCTTCCTTCAGTTTCTTTATTCATATATATATATATTTATATATATATATAGAGAGAGAGAGATTGTGTGCAGATAGTGTAAAAGGACAAAATGACGAACTCACTAAGTATTGAAAGAACAAAGTGTTGAACGGAAAAAAAAGGGACATTGTCATTTTGCTCATTCGAAACTTTCACCTATTTTATATATATATATATATATATATAAATAAAATGGCTAGCTGCTTGTTTCATCTCCTCAATTCCATTCACAAGTTTTACATGAACCAGTGGTATGGTTTTCAGGTACTTTTCAGTGGTGTCACATACTAGGGCTGTCTTCCCAAATTTATATTCTCTCCCTGACAAATCAACCATGGTCAGGTTTGAACCTGGATTTTATGCTCAAAGCACTAATCATTTGACCATACACCTCTATCATATAATATATAATCTCTCTCTCTCTCTCTCTCTCACACACACACAGTATTTGTGAAAATACTTATAACAAGCAGATTTTTTATATCTTACAAATTAGTTTTCTGAGTTAAAACACAGGAACATTATACAATAAGAACTAAATTCTATTGCAGTCAACATATCAAGGCATGCATTTAATTTTTTATCAAACCTAAATTTCTTAAATATTTTTTCTAATACCTTCTTTAGAATCTATCAAGGAGATTCCAAAGGCAAATTGACTTTTTTGAAGTGTTGCTAATCTTGTGTAAGTTAATTTGGATTCTTTCCTGTTCAAAATCCTTAATGACCCTGGCAATGTTAGACAATATAATAACTGATTTTGTACATGTTCAAAAATTTATAAACAGTAATTTATAGAAAGTCCTGCTGATAAGTATTCAAATAAACAGCATTTTTATTTATTTTCATTAATATTTTTACAAAAATACCATGACAAGTTGAAAATTGGCATTTAATGAAAATTGTCTCTTCCATCTTAGCTAGTCACATTCATGAGACTAAACATTAATTGGCTCCTTCACCACATTTATTCTGAATATCTCTTTCATTTCACAATCATTAAAAAGAAAAAAAACTAAATTCTAACTATATCTATGTAGCAGAAAGGTGGGATAGTCAAGAATAGGAGGGAATCTAAATTAATTTACTAGTTTGGCAACTTTTCCAACTTTTCCTTTTTAATCTTCTTGATAGATTCTGTACTGGATTTTAGAAATTAAATAATTCTATTTATTTAACAATTAAAAATTTTTTTTCAGAATTTTAGCATTCAGACCCACAAAACAAGACTGAATACAAACTTTGTTGATTGCAATCAAATCTGGCTCTCATGTAATGTTTGTGGTTTTAAGAGTTAAAAACAAAGTGATTAAAAGCAATGTGTTTATCTGCCCAAATAATTGACTTATCTGTAATTTATCCAACCTCCCACGAGGTCAGGTTGGGGCACAAGGTTAGTTTAATGTGGGGAGCCCGAGCACATACACCCAGGCTAGGAACAAAAATTCCCAAGCCCCTGCAACCATTGGTTGCACTAGCCTTGGTGCATGCACGATCCCTCTCTTTAGAGAGGGTGTGGCCTTAGGCAGCTGTTCCCCAGGGCCAGCACCTCTCTGTATAATTTTCCTGTTGCAACTCTATCCTTGCCCTTGAGTGCACTTTGCCCAAAGATAGAGATGCAACTGAGGGATGATAAGTAATGTGTTACAAACTACTCAAGAGAGTCCCAGGCTATCTTTCTCTTTGCCAAAAAAAATATTCTCGGATGCATATGCATGGCATTGGTGTTTATATCTGGGATAATTTTCAAATGGTAAGGGAATTGTTTCTTGAATCCCCAGATGATTCTTTCATGTGCTTTCAACTTTTGTTAATGCACTCTATTAGCTATCTCTTTTTCCTTTATCGCTCTCCCTCTTCTCAGGACTACAATATATTAGGCAAAATTTCTGACAGTATAGAAATAGCTCTCTCTCTCTATCTCCATTCATTTGCAAATATTTTTGTGTTTGGTGATTTTAATGCTCATCATCTAATGTTAGTGATGTTGCTGGTATTCAAACTTTCAATATTTCCAATTTTTCCTTTATAAAAATGGTGCTACTAGTTTCCATAATAAATCTGATCAACATGCTTCCTTACTCATTGTTCCTTACCTCTTCTTCTAGCTCTCTTGTCACACTGTAGTATCTATTGATATTTCTTTTCAGTCATCTATTAGACAGGAACTTCCTATTCGCAAGACCTCTTTCCATTACCAGTGTACTGATTGGGATTCATTTTGTAACTTTCTTCGAGACATCATTTGGATTGATATTCTTAACCTTCCTATTGAGAATTGTGTTAGTGTAGTGCCCTCTTGAGTTAAAATTGGCATAGATGCTTTTGTACCCTCTCAGAAACACCAGGTGAAACCACAATCTTTCCTATGATTTGCACCGGCATGTTCAGCCACTGTAGCTCACATGAATCACTTTTTCCAGCTATACCAGCATGACAATTCCAATCACAACAGACACCTATTTTTGTATGCACATAATAATTGTAAACTTGCTCTCAAGGTGACTAAGTTTTGTTTGCTGATAGAATGAATCACAGTATAGCCTCTAACAACTGTGGCTTTTATGACTACTGGTAGATCTGTAATAGTGTATTAAATAAGAGTAAGTCTTCTATTCCTCTTCTCTTCACTCAATTTGAGGTGTTATTATCTGCTGATAAAGCAGAATATTTTGTTCGTAAATTCTCTTTAAACTCTACTCTTGAATCATCTGGAGTATCCTTGCCTAACTTTCCACTTAGAACTGAGTCTCTGTTGAGTGATATTCATATAATACCTTCCATGATTTCTGCTATCATCTCTAACCTAGATCCCCACAAAGCATATGGACTTTATGGTATCCCTGCAGTAGTCCTTAAGAAATATGCTCCTGGACTAGCTCCTGTTCTCTCTAAACCAGACATGGGCAACCTTTTCCAACCAGTATTTCATATCAGATATGGCTCATCATATGGTGAACCACACTGCTAAAAAGTATCCTAGCCTGACTTTCCACTTAAAACTGAGTCTCTGTTGAGTGATATGCATATAACTCGCATAAGGGCTTTATGGTATCCCTGAAGTAGTCCTTAAGAAATGTGCTCCTGAACTGGCTCCTGTTCTCTCTAAACCAGACATTGGCAACCTTTTCCAGCCAGTGGGTCATATCAGATATGGCTCATCATACAGTGAGCCACACTGCTAAAAAGTTTCAAGGTAATTTTTACTCCTGCCATTTTCACCAAGAAGACCATATGAATAAAGATAAAAGGAACGTTATCAATGCCTTTTGTCTTCTGATGGACTTTATCAAGATTAATGTAAGTGTTTTTATTTTTCAACATATATTTATAAACAAAAGTAAAAATATAATTAGGTTTCCAAAATTTAAAAATTTAGGAACCCTCAAAAATATTCTTAAGGCAACTATAAAAGTAAAGATAAATTATGGCAGGTGATGTAATTTAATGCCTAATAAACAAAAGTGAGTAAATGTTGTTATTATTGGTAAAGAAAAGGTTTCCTTTTGTTTTTATATTATCTTTTTGCAGATATTTTATTTATATCTGAAAAAATATATATATATATATATATATATCCTTTTATCTTTATTCATATATATCATAGTAGGCATCCATTTATCTCACAGTATAATGGTAGAACCTTGTTTGGTCAAAAATTCAGCCCTTTTCAATCAGCATCTGTAGTGGCTTTAACAGTCCAATTTTTGCATAACATACTCTTCTGCAGGTGTAGTAGATGAAGTTTGGATGTGGAATGAAGGTCTGAGATTGCTCTCTCTCTCTCTCTCCTTCCAGTGTTGTCTTCTGATCTCCAACTATTGGTTTCACTTTTCCCTCTTTATGACTCAGTGCCTGTGAGTTTCAGGTTCCTCTTGCAAATATCCTTAAAATCTAGTGCAGAGAGGCCTACTTGATGGTGTCAAATATATATATATATAGATAGATAGATAGATAAAAATAATACAATTGGAAAATATATTTCTTAGTTATTGCCGACGCATTTCGTCAATCCAACTTTATCAAGGCAAGTTTAAAAGTGAAATGTTTTTTAGTTACATTAGATTCAAAATATTAAAAAGACAACGCACCTGTGTAAACCTCTTTCTGGATATTGGTAATTTTTTTTTTTTTATACAGGAGCATTCTCTTTTTAATATTTTGAATTTAATGTAACTAAAAAAACATTTCACTTTTAAACTTGCCTTGATAAAGTCAGATTGACGAAATGCGTCGGCAATAACTAAGAAATATATTTTCCAATTTTCTTCTTTTTATCCAAATTCTTTTATCTTCAGAATTATTCTGAGAAATATATATATATATATATATATATAAATATGAAAGAGACTCAGAGATTATATCATTGTGATATGATTCAGGTATTAATGACTCCTCCTATGTCTTACCATCAGTCTAATCAGATCAAATGCAGAACAGGGTCCAGGCAACTAACTAAATGACCAACCATTTTTGTCACTATGAAGTGACATCACTAAGTAGCTGTCACATGATTCTTGTGACTTCATCTCAACCAAAGAGATAATCACCTTTTGCATCCCTAGAATAATAAATCTATTGAAAATGAGCTTACAGTCACATCATGTTGAAACACTAGTTCCCATACAATCACCAAAGTTAAGCAATAGATAGATGGGTGACCGCTTGGGAATACCAGGTGCTGTAAGCTTGGATGTGTGGCTGGTATAATGGATTGGAATTGTTAATCAGAGAGGCCAGTTCCAATTCCTGTTGAGTTTGTTATATTCACTGACACAAAAATACCTTTGGGAAAGGCATGAATCCACCTGTTCTCCTCCCAGTTATGGTTTAATTCATAAGACTTATAGCAATTCCAAGCCATTATCCATTACTCTACCTGCACATCCCTGCTCACAGCACCTGGTTTTCCCAAGTAATCACCCATCTAGGTACTGACCAGGCTCAACATTCCTTAACTTCAGTGGATGTATGGGAACTAGTGTTTCAACATGATGTGGCCATAAGTCTAAATATGGTATAGGGTTATTTGTAGGAAATTTGTTATCCAGAATTCTTTCAATTCAATATAAGTTTTTTCTAGAAATATTGGAATGGTTATGCTACCATGTACCCAAAATCAAATGGTCATATTATGGATTATGCAATATGATGACAACACCAAATATACTATCAAACTCATCATAGCCTACCAATAATAATGGTGAGGTATTTAGTAATCAGTCCAATCACTTGACCTTTACTCACCAAGCACTTGCAGTAAAGAATCAAAATGAACAACATTCAACAGGAATAATACTAATTCACTGATGGTTTTAATGATAATGGTAATATTAGCCCTTTCCTTACAAGGAAACATTTTGCATTCATTGACTGAGCAGCCAATACTGGTTTCAATTGAAATTTATAAAATCTTTCTCTTAGAACAATTTTTCAGGAAAACCAGTTTTACAAGTACAGTAGCTGTTATCACTCTTTCCAGTATTGATGCTTCCTAACCTTTTATCTGAAATAGTGTGGAATGTCCACATCTCGATTATATCATTTCCTCTTTGAGTTACCTGTGATATCCATTTTAGTTGTTGCTGCTGTTGGTAGTCTTCAAGTAATGTGGTTTCTGTTACTTGGTACAGTTCTTTGTGATTCTGTAGCACCAGTTCACAATGTTCAAAAAAGGATGTTCTTTGCCAAAAACCCTCAGGCTTCAGTAATTGTGAAGAAAAGCAAATAAAAAATAAAAGAAATACTTTTCAAAAGTTAATAATTGACAAGGTTTTATCTAAATAAAAATATAAATAACAGCAATATGGAAAGAATTTAATTTCATTAAAACCAGTAGATGTTGTATTAAACATTTTCACTTACTCAGTATTAGTGTTTCTTCATTTACTTTTTATTTATTATTTATGAAAAATAATTGAAGTCTCCATAAACTATTTGATTGCAGTGTTTTTGAAAGATTAACATATTACTATGCCTAAATCATTCACATTAAAATAGGGATTAAGAGTTAAAAATCCACTTTAATCAGTTTATAGTTTCTACTGTTAACATTTCTACCTAAACTCTGAAATTTTAATTACTATTTATTTTTTCCTCAATAGGAGTAGATAGGTTTGCCTATACCTCAGTTCCATCTCCTCCCTGGTCTTTAAACAGGAGTAGTGGCTTATCCTTTGTTTCCTTTTTAGAATTGGGTTTTTGGTTCCTTCTAAAATCTTTCATTTTCTTTAACTTACCCCTTGCATCTTAGTGGCATTATCACCTTACTTCAGGTGAATTGATTAAAATATATATACAATAAGGTGAAACAATTTCAGTTTTTTAAAATAATATCTTCATACGTATGGATCTGCTGGTGTACTAAAGAAAATGGTGATGTATCTTGAAGACCAAGGCTACTTCTCATGTTTTTGTGAAGAAAAAAATTGCCTCTTCCCTGGATAATGTCCTGGGTAAGACAATAAACTACATTCAACATCAAGGCCTCTGATCAGGAGGGTTTGAGGAGTGTAGAACCACCTCTTAATTGCTGGTGTTCCCAGGTCCACCCTGACCAGGGGTGGTAGCACCTGTTAGGGTCCCATCTATGGGCAAATAGTTAACACCCAAACTTGTGTAAAAATGTTTTAATACCAGAAATACTTTGTAATAAAAAAAATTATTACTAGCAATAATTTTTGAAGGAAAAATTATCAGCAATAATTAAAATTTATAGTGAAACATATATTGTTAGAGTGTGTAGATTTTGATCTAGTGTGAACAAAATATTACCAAGTGAGTAATTTAAAAAAAAAAAAAAAAAACTTTTTACAAAAATAAAACCATCCAAGTTGGATAGTACTTAAAAATATGAGTAACTGAAAAATGGTTCAAATATATATGTATACATACACACCTTTTGTACCAAACTATCACTAAGTTTTGTTGGCATTAAATGACCCACTGAGGTTGATATGCCACAAAACAACCAACCAAATCTTCCCTGGATCAACTTCATTTCTCTGCAAATGGAAAAGCTGCTTTAAAAACTGCTGAATTTTCTGAGATGAGTGAGTAGTAACCCACCTGATCCGACCAACCAACTCAACCCAGGGTGGTTGTGGATTGATTTCTTCCTTTTACAGTAGGTGATGTGACAGTTATTTGCATGGAAAGTGGAATTGGCTACCAAATTCAAATACTATTTCATTCATTTTGCAGTAATGGCCTTGGAAAAGGCATGACTTCTTCTTGCTTGTAGCTATGGGTTAAATAGCAGGGAAGACTGAACTATTTAGATTTTATCTAGAAAAAAGACAACTCTGAATTCAAAACAAGCCTGAAGTGGAATGGTTTCAGTTAGTCAATCTTCTCGTAGACATATGAATTACCACTATGGCTGCAGAACATGTGGTCAGTTCTACATCCCTAGTGGGTTATGGGACGTCATTGTAACTCTTATTTATTATATATATATATATATATATATATATAATGCTATCATTATCCAATCGAGTTCTCCAGAGAAAAAGGGTAATTTAAAAACAGTGGCTGCTGCTGCTATTAATGCATTGCTCTTCAATTATGAATTGCTACTGGCTTCTCTTGGCTACTGGCATTTGTATACATTTCATATAGAATACATTAAAATTTCCCTTTCTCTGCCGTGTGCCAATAGTTTAGGGGTAAGATATCTGACTGATGCCAAACTGGTCAAGTTTCGATCCCAGCCTGAAGCAATCGAATGTCTAGCCACACTCATGAGCTGTGATACAGCAAAACAGTTTCTGTGGATAACATCATATATATATATATATATATATATATATATATATATATATAAAATATAAAAATCAGTAACGCCTATCAAAATGCACAAAACATAGTAGAATCTACTGTATTTTAAAGCAAGCATAATTTTAGTCCTTAAAGTGCTCAATAGAAAACAACAACCAATAAATTAAAAGTTCAATTGACTTATTTTTTGACCAACTTCAAATTTACCTGTTGTCAAAAATGATGGCATATTTTATTTAGCCATTACTATAAGATTTTCATGCAGGAGTTTTTAAATATTTAAAGAAATTGTCAGTGCAATAGAGAACTTAAAAAGCAAGATATTACAGATGTCACAGACAAAAAACAAACACTTGGCATATTACATAGAGAGAGAGATTTTGAGCACATGACAGCATAACAAATAAAGACCATAACTGAATAATACTAAAAGGAGAAAAAGATGAGATATCCCTAGATAATTGACAGCATAATGAGAACACTTTACCCCTGCAGATTAAATAAATTGTTCAGTTTGATATTACCTGGATCGACAAGCACCTAATGAAGGTCAGAGGGTACACTGGCTGAAGCACTGTGATGACAACAAAGATGAAGATAATGTCATATATAAATAATATAAATAGTAATTATTTTTTCTTGTGATGTTTTTTTATGATATTACTTGCATAACTAAGTTTACAATTCATATGACTATATCTTTTTAAGAGAAGTGTCTTCATAAATTTTAACTGCAATATTTGTTACAAATGGATTTTTGCCAACTGAGTTTGATTTCTGCATCAGATGCACATCAGAAATGTTTGTCTTTTCAGAGGAATTTTAGGGCCTACAAGAACAGCTGATTGCATAAAAGAAAGAAAACAATAGTTTCTCACATTCTGTATCGGCAGACAATGCTTGGTGAGAGATTTTCTAGAAACTTCTACGTACTCTGATATGTTACTTTGAAGGTATTTATAAGATGCTAAACATTCCAACAACTTCTTGTTGCTTGTTTATCAGCTTACCAAATAACTTTCATTTGCAAACAAGTGGTTTAATAGGGTAATTCACTTGCACCTGATGAAACACTAAAAATAAAACCTGACTCATGAAACACTATATATATATATATATATAGAGAGAGAGAGAGAGTTTTATATGTATATGTGTGTGTGAGTGTATATATATGTGTGTGTGTGTGTATGTATATATATGTGTGTGTGTGTATATGAGAGTGATGATCTTTATGTAACAGATTTGCTTACATTTGCTGAACATATGCTATTAGCAAAATAATTAGATCAGAAATGTAAAAGTCTAGAGATAGCATGGCTGATATAGTTACAAGTTCCCCCCACCAAAACCAGAGACCAGTGTTCATACTTTAGTGAAAGTCAGGATGTTGAATCTTTTTCTAGACAAACAAGGACTTCCTACTTGCAAATTTATTAATTTTTTTAAATAAAAAAAAAAACAAAAAAACTTTGTACTTTGCATTTTCTACCTGAGTGATTTAGTAAGTAATTTACTGCATTTCTTGGATAAAGCATTTTTGTTACTACAAGTGATTGTATAAAGAACATGTAATATATGTATAAACTTATGAATAAAGAAAAAAAGGAAAAGTTATCTTAGCTGATGCATTTCATCCTCTGAGAGACTTTATCAAAGCAAATGCAAGGATTTTATTTGTCCTTTTACAGATAGAATATATCTGAAATTTTACATATAAATTTGTTTTGTCATTCATTTAGCCATGTCAAATTTATAAAGATTTCCTATCATCATTCTGTTGGATTTAATCTTATATTCAACTCATTTGATTGTATATAAGACTACCTTATTTAGATATATTATAGATTTAAGGTACATAAAAGTATCAGGTAAATCAGGATTGATCTTCAGATACCTCAACTTGTAAGACTGATGAAATAGTTTTTATATTTTTTTAGAAAAAAAATGAGGTTTTTATATATCATCAAATATACTATATTTCCTGTATGCTAAGATGCTACAAGTGGTATGGCACACTTATAATTTGCTCGGTATGTCTCAGAAAAAATATTTGAGAACTTAATAGCTTACTTAATAGCTGGCAAGTTCAAGTCACCAATTTTCCAGTGTCATTTTTCTGTTTCAAGAAATCATTTTGATCCTATTATTAAATATTTGTGATTATTATTATTATTAAATATTTGTGATTATTATATTTGTGATTATTATTAGATTTCAGAAAAGAGT